TTTCGAGTTTAAATTTTAAACACATAAATGAGATTTTGTTTTTTGTAAAAATAAATTTTGTAACATGTGTTTTAAGGTATAAGTTAAGAATTTTTTTTAATATTAATTGTTATTAAAAAATAAAATTTAATATTTATTTAATTGATTATTAAATTAAAAAAATACATATAATATTAGTGAAAAAATAAATTTTAATATTTATTTGATTGATTATTAAATTAAAACAGTACATATAGTATTAGTGATAAAATTAATATCAATTTTTTGTTATTTTTAATTAATTAATATAAAAAAATGTATTGATTACATTCTTACCTTATGCTTTAAGTATATAACTTAGATAAATCCTAAAAAAAAAAGAGGATTGTCCCATATTTTCTTTTCTTTTTTTTTTTTGAAACTTATTGCAAAAATAAAAATAATTTGTTAACAATATTTATTGTTTTTAACATATTTAATAATAAATTATATAAAAAGCAAATAAATCTAAAATTTTTAATTTAAAATCTCAATTTCATGACTGATTGAGTTGATCTATTTTTTAAGAGTTTGTCAACGGTATTTATTAATAATTAAATTCATAAAGTAGACTAAAATATTCAAAGAATTTTTTTTATTTAATAAAATTAATGAATTATTATAGTATATATATAATTATTATTTCTTAAGAGTTTGTCAACAGTATTTATTGATAATTAAATTCATAAAGTAGACTAAAATATTCAAAGAATTTTTTTTATTTAATAAAATTAATGAATTATTATAGTATATATATAATTATTAAATATTACGTATTTGTTATGAGATTTTATTGTAATAAACCTCTAAAAAAAATAATTGTTGCTTTTAAAAGCTAAACATCTTTTTCATTTTTAAAGAAGGGTACAACAGTCTAGTAATTTGACCAGCAGTTACAACTGCACCTGAAAACCGAAGAAAATTTTGATAAAATAAAAATATCTACAAGGAATTGAAAACACTAAAATTAAAAAAATATTAAAGGGTGGGCGCGGGTGAAACAAAAGGAAAAGTAAACGGAAAGGTCGTTTCCTCAGTCCTTCCTGTAATTTTATGGTGATGCTACTTGCATCGCCCTAGGCTTCATTTAGAAAGTAAAACCCCCTTCTAAAGTTTTCATCTTTTTCTCCTCCCAGGAACAGAGATGATGAAGAAGTTGGGCATGATCCCTAATCTCAAACTCTCTCTCCCACCTCCTGATGAGGATTCCTTGGTCAAATTCCTGTAATTCCTTTCTCCCCTCTTCCTCTTCTTACTTGGCGCATCTGGGTTTTTTCTATGTATGGTTATTTTGTGTTTTGTTGGGCTGATTTTGGTTATGTCTTTGTTGCAGAACTCAAAGCGGGACCTTTAAGGTTGGTGATCTGCTGGTCAATAGGGATGGAGTCAGAATTGTGTCTGAAAGTGAAACTCAAGCTGTAAGCTATCTCTGATTCTATCTTGTAGTATGAATCTGGCTTTCTTTGAGTTCTTTTATGTTTGATTATGCCTTCTTGAGAAAAATTAAACAGAAAAAAAAAAAAAAATTCGGTTGAGTGGATTTTGAGGTTTCTAAATTTGATGAAGTTAAGTGAATACCAATTGAAGACCAAATTGGAGTCATATTTGTGGGAAATTTGATATCTTGCTAGGTAAATTACTGCCTTGTCGGTTTTTAATTTGTTGCTTGTGGGTCTTTGCTTTCAGCCTCCTCCAATTAAGCCATCAGATAACCAGTTGAGTTTAGAAGACATGGATATAATTAAAGTTGTGGGGAAGGGAAACGGAGGAGTTGTGCAATTGGTGCAACACAAATGGACTAGCCAGTTTTTTGCATTAAAGGTAATAATGCTCTAGTTATCACCTACATTTTGCCTGTCATTAGTTATCTATATTTCATTGCTTCCATGTGAATGGTTCGAGATTAAATCTTCGCTTAATGTATTATTATCTTTGTCTTGTTTCATTCTTCTTAATCTTAAGTTCTGAGATGTTTACCCAATTTCAGGTTATTCAAATGAACATTGAGGAACCAGCAAGAAGGCAGATCGCACAGGAATTGAAAATAAACCAATCCTCACAATGTCCATATGTTGTTGTTTGCTACCAGTCTTTTTACAATAACGGTGCTATTTCTATTATCTTGGAGTATATGGATGGTGGATCTCTGGCAGATTTTCTGAAAAAAGTGAAGACAATTCCTGAACCATTTCTTGCTGCAATATTTAAGCAGGTGGGTACTTATGAGTTATGAACTGTGAATTGGCTATAATAAATACTAGTTTCTTTGATATGGAAATATAGTTATTCCTCTTTTATATTCTTCTCATTAATGCAGGTGCTCAAAGGGTTGGCTTATCTTCATCATGAAAAGCACATTATCCACAGAGACTTGAAGCCTTCTAATTTATTGATAAACCATAGAGGTGAAGTCAAGATCACTGATTTTGGTGTCAGTGCTATAATGACTAGCACCTCTGGACTGGCTAACACTTTTGTTGGCACATACAATTATATGTCTGTAAGTAATTCACTGGACATATGAAGGAAAATAATATTTTCTATATTTTGATTAATGCTTTGTCCTTTCTGTAATTGCTCAGGTGGATCTTTTCTGGTCTGTTTAAAACTCATTAGTTTGTTTATGCCTGTTCTCATTTTTAGCCAGAGAGAATTATTGGAGGTGATTATGGCAACAAAAGTGACATTTGGAGCCTGGGACTAGTGTTGCTTGAGTGTGCAACTGGTAAATTTCCATTTTCCCCTCCAGAAGCAGAAGAAGGATGGACTAACTTTTATGAGCTTATGGAAGCAATTGTTGAGCAACCACCACCTTGTGCACCTTCTGATCAATTCTCTTCAGAGTTTTGCTCATTTATCTCAGCATGGTAAGACTAAGTTTTTCATTGCTTACCTGATGTATGTTAGATGTCCTAGTATCATCATGCACCAAATTTGAGTGTGGGATTGATGTTGATGTTGTTTTCTTTTGCTGCCTTGCTTTTGTTTGTAACAATCCTTTGTCCTTGCCTTCTCTGTCTTAAAATGATGGCCCATGAAGAGCTTGGTTTCATTTTCTTTTGCTTGTTCATACATATTTGTAGTTATTGTATTGCATATTAAATTATAAGTTAGATGTTTTTAAAACCTTAAAAGAATTGAATCATTTGATATCTCCTATTTTAACCTCTTCTAATATTCCTGAGGTATCAAATGCTGCCCACATTTTCTTTTAACCTGAATGTCTTAGAACTCTTTGATCTGAGGAGATTACTAAATCTTGGCCTTGGGCTCTTTCGTCCATTTCAGTGTACAGAAGGATCCAAAGGACAGAAAGTCAGCACCTGAACTTATGGTATGTAAAATTTGTGTCACTTTACTCCACTTTTATCTTTCAAGTAGTATGTATGTAAAATTTGTGTCACTTTACCCCACTTTTTATCTTTCAAGTAGTACAAATCAAATAGAATATGTGCTCAATGGATGATCTAATATGATTCGTATTTCATTTTCAATGTGAAACACAGACACATCCTTTCATGAACATGTACAATGACTTGGATTTGGACCTGTCATCCTACTTCACCAGCGCAGGATCCCCACTTGCAACCCTTTAGAACCTATCTGGTATGCCTTTTGTGTAGATTATTGTCTTTAACTTTGTTGAGTTCTTTTTCCATTTTTGGCCAAATTTTAACTTTGTTGTGTTCCAACCTTCATTTTGTTACTTTGATAAAACTTTGGCGGTTTTACTTTTGATTAAAATTCATGTTGCATGCTTTCATGTGGCATCAATGATAAGATGTTGCTTACTTAAGCAGAGATGCATTCTTTTCCTTTTCAGTTTTCTTATGATGCCACCTTTGAACTAAGCACAAGGCTTGTAAGTTTTCATGGAATCCAGCCACTGCAAATCTTAGGAAGTTTCGAAGATCTCTAATTTTCTTTGTGAATCAAGTGGAAAGACTTTGTTTATGCCAATGTTATTGTACTGCTCCAACCCAAGCCTTTAAAGCATCAACTATTCTCAAAAATGAGGCTTTAATGCCAGAAGGTTTGCAGTGCGAGAAACACCATATGCTTTTTCTGTACTAAGAATAAGAAAATTTATGATTGAAAGGTACTCTAATATAAGCACATATCAAGTGACTGTCTTGACAGGAATAGAAATTCTACCAAATGGAACAATGAAATTTGATTTTTCTTTTCCCCCTTGTTTGCCTTCTCTTTGCTTTTGAGGTGGCAACTGGCAAGGCCACCCCTACTAGTGGGAACACCAGGGCTGTGTCTTACGTTTGTTCTCCTTCCCCCTTTAAAATATTGCACTAATGGTTGCCCTCTATTTTTTTTTAAAAAAAAAAAGGGGGAAGAAGAAGTAGTGATGACTCCCAAATGACTCGTTGAGGCCTGAATTTATCATCTTTCCCATATGCTAGATTCTCACTTTCAATTGCTTATGTAAATGCCTCTTTCAATCTTCTAATTACCACTTCTAAACATTGAAATACAATTTTTAATTTTATTTTTTATCTTTGCAAGCGGTGTTTTATAAGCGCTGATGTAAATTTTAGTTAGAGAATCATGCAAAACTTTGATAGATAAATCATCTCCATACACTTTTTTAGATTTTTAGATCAATTTAAGAGAATAAACTTCGTAGACCAAACATCAAAGTGTTAGTGATTAATAGAGCAAACATTAAATTCAGTCCTTATTTTTATGGTGCATTGAATGATAGGTTATATAATAAGGAATGACTCTTTCCTTCTCAAATCACTCTCCATCATTTTTAGGATTCAAACTTGATCTTTTAACATGAAAATTTAAGTTTTTAATTACTGGAACATTGCTGGAGAACAACTGAGCCTAAATAGAACTGAAGAAGAAGCAATTTATCAAATGATGTAATGTAGAAATTAGTTTGATAAAGGTCATGTGATCTCGAGTTCAATCAAGAAGTGCTTAAAAATGCAGCTAAGCAAGATTAAATTGAAATTCACTATATTGCATTAGGTGTAACTATTTTAAAACCAAAATAGCCCTTGCGAAAACTATTTGTCTGAATTATGCAAGCATCATTGTGTAAGGCATTTGACTTAAACAATGGCTTTTACCTCATAAAATAAAACAATACATGTCAAAATTTATGACTTGAGATACTACTATCAGCATTTCTTCTTGAATTTTCTCTGAGCTTTTAGGTCAACCACAATAACAGTGGTATTGTCTTTGCTTCCCTTGCTAAGAGCAACCCTTGAGAGGTATTCAGATGCAGCTTGAGCTGCAGGATCAGCTTCCTCACCCCTTCCAGCTAGTAATGTCTCACTATGCTTTTTGTGCCAAAGAAGGATTCTCTTTCGAGCAATATCACAGACCTCCTCATTTGACATTACATCCCATAAGCCATCACTGGCTAAGATAAGGCATTCATCTTCTTTTGCTCGAGGAACAAACATCACTCCTGGATCTGGAATAATGCATGGTTTTAGGTATCTGTCACCTGAGGATCATAAAATAAATGCTATTATGAAATATAACATCAACAATCCAGATAAGATTTTGCTCTTTCAAAATCATGGTTGAGCGTGGAACCATGCTAATGTAAACACCAGACTCTGATTCTGTAAGACATGCAGAAGAGAAGTGAGGATTAGAGCTCCTACCTATGGACCTTGACATTGCCAGCACACCAGAAACACGGTAACCATTCCATTGAATGACCTTGCCTCCTGCAGCTTCTATCCTTGCATGTTCATCCTCTCTCTCTGGCTGGAAAACGGAAACATGAACAGCATCAATTACCTTGAGAATATGCTGGTTTCAGTTATCACTCATGATGCAGATGGAATTGAATGCATAACTATTATTACAGGCCTTACCTTGTGGTCTACAGATAATGGTACAGCCACTTTCCCACGACAGAGAACTGCCCTTGAATCACCACAGTTTGCAATAATTATATGGGTTGGACAAACAACGGCAACCACAGCAGTAGAACCAACAGTTTCAGGGGCTATTGGTGGAAGGTCAGTCTTGTTTCCGCTAGTGTCAGAGTTGAATCCTCCAATTTCAGCATCAACTTTCACAAAGCAATTGGTTAAGGCGTTCTTCCATTTATCTTGCCAATTTTGCTCCATATTGGCATCATGTATACCTGGTTTTGCAATTTCTATCTCCTCTGCCAAAGCCAAATGCATACGCTCTCGGCAATAGTTTGCAACCTATTCAAAGAAGTCGCTCGAAGTGAAGCAAACTAACACAAATGCATATAACTTGTGATGAACAATATGAACATTAAGGAATGTTTTTCAAATATGAATAAAACAGTAAAATAAATAGTTTAGAAACTAATTAAAGATGATGATAATAATAATAATAAACGTGGGAAGAAGAATACCTCGCAGCCACCATGACCATCATAGACACCAAAGAAATGTGTATTTGAACAGCTTAGACCCCTACTCATGCCATCCGAAATGCATTCATCCCTCAGCAATTGAATTGGAACTTGCAAAAGTCGAGGTATAGCCACAACAGCATCTTCCATCTCAGGTCTTCTTCCACGGATAGATGTATATCCCCAAAGGGGAACATTGTTTGATTCAAGCACAATCAGGCTTGTAGTTCTTAGTCTTTTCTGTTGTACAACCTTAAGAAATGAATCAGTCGATTTTTTGTCGGATTCATTTGATCCATTGCCATCCTCCGCCTCAAGACCCACTGCCACCAGATTCACATCTTGGACACCACCAAAATTTTTTTTCCCATCAAGTGTAATTGCATTTGTCTCGGAATTAGCCTCAAAAGCTGAAAACTCCTCACCACAGATGCTGCTGACATCACTAGCCACAGATAGGGAACGTGAAATATGTTGATCACAAATGGAAAACAGGCATCCATCTTCATCACTTCCCTGCCCCTCATTTTTAATCAGATTCGACAGACTAACTTCGTGTTCTCCTCTCCCATCTTCACATTCAGAAACTGGTGCTATACTTTTCCTGAGCTGATTTGGCTTGTTTTCAGGCCTTGATAACAAGCTTGCCCTGTCTGTAATAAGCTTAAGCCCAGCAATATCCACGTGGGATGTCATTCTTGAGTCATCATTACGCATCACGTCACCTGGCCTAATTGGACCAGCAACTGCTGTTGACATTTCCTCCATGGCTACCTTTCCCTTGTGGCAAATACAGAAATACTTCAAATCTCCAAATCTAAGAAAACTTGTACAAGAGTATAAACAACTAGTCTTCAACTAATTTTACTTAATACACAGTATCAAATCAACTAATTCTCTATAATCCAAGAAAAGAATCACCTAGTGACCTATGCATGGATTGGAGGGGCAAAGAAGCAAAAACACAAAAAGGGCGATGAAAGGAATTAAGGGTGAAGTAACTGATTTCAAGCTTCTATTTTGTGTTACTGAGTAGAAAGAAACAAAATTAGATAGCTCTACAGCCTTTTCACCCACTTCATATCCGAACTCTTCTTCTCTGTCTAAATGAATGAACCAGAGGTAGAGGAGAGAACCTTTCAACTCTGATTAATGGGGGACAAGCAATATATGAACCAAATTGTATGACTGTTCATGTCCCTAACAAACTAACTGAAAAGGGCAATTTAATGAAAGCAAGTGGGATCATGATAAAGTATTCAAAAACAAATAGAAAGCCCCAGAAAAGCACTATCAAGTCCAGTTCCCTGGATCTGGGGTAACTGATGTCAACCTCTAGCAACTTGGTATTTCTCACCCTACTCCATTACTTCCCAAGTGTCAACTCTCTCAACCAACCAAAGCAAAAACTGGCAAATACTGTGTCACCAACAAAACCTCTTTCAATCACCCTATACCTAGAAGAACGTCAAAGAACTGCCCCTCAAGAGCATACAATTTTCAATCTCAAGGCAAAATACCAAAGGGCAAAGGCTCAATAATACACCTGACCTAAGTTGCTTACCATCTTGAAACATCGGCACATTAGAAGTGGACAGAGCCAGGAAAAGCACGAAACCCAGAAGCACACGTGTCCATTAAAATATGTTAGAAAACCAATTAACAGAATCTGGACGTAAAGTAAAAAATAACAGAAAAATAATATTACACGTCCCTTTTGAGAAGGCAAGAATACTGAGTGTGATGCAATCGTCTTTTCATTTCTCAAACAAAAAATTGATATTTTTAAGAGAATATTGTTTTCAATCCAGCTGGACTTTTAGGATATTAAAATATTTTTAATAAATTATAATTTAATTGTATTTTATTATTCAATTTAAATTAAAAAACACTTTTTTATATTTTTATACAAAAACATGTAAAAGCGAAATGGTCCAAAGCAGGAGAAGTTTTTCAGTGTAACAGGATACACAAAAAACAAAACAAGAGGGTTAAAATTTCATTTCATGAACTCGTTAGAAATTGTCAGTACAATAATTTATTATATTTCATATCAAATTATAAAATTAAAATTATTAAATAAAAAATAATTTTTAACATTAAAAAAAACTCACCTCTTACCTAATTATTATTATTATTTTTTAAATAAGAATAATTTTTAAGAAAAAAAAATTAAACTCATCTCATGAAATTAAGAAGGTGTTGTCATAGGTATAATTTTTTTATATTATTTTTTAATATAATTTTTATATATTATTAAATAAATAAATAAATTTATAAATTTTATATGAATTAAAAATTAATTATTTAAATAATATGTTAAATTATATAAAAAATAAAAAAATTATTTTTTAATTAAAAAATACACATATTCCATAATCTATAAAGTTATTTGCTCTTACCTAATTTAAATTATTAAAATCTAAAAAACAGAAATATGAAAATCAGATGCCTATTCAAGACATCCATTATCACTATTCATAGAGTGGACTCCATCCTTAAAATCTATCCACAGATGAACATCTTGGGGTGAGAACATCTTAATTTTTTGCACTCTTTCTAAAAAAAAAATGTATAATATTTTTTTTACTAAAATATCTCTATTTATGTGTCTAAAAAATGCTGAAATGACAGTTTTCTAGAAACTAAGAATATCTAAAAAATATCTCAACTGTAGAATTGCCCAGAGGAGAAGGATGTGGTGATGAGGGGTTTGGTTTGGTGACCAAAGCTTGTGACGTGTGGGGGAGGAGGAGAGGGGAGATGTATGCAGAACGGTTAGGTCGGTGGATTCATGGACTGACGCACACATCATGCGGTTTGGATTATTTTGCAATAACTTTCGTGCCGAACCCTCAAACTCTACGCCACGTATGTCGTAGCATTAGTAGTAGATAAGATTTTCTCATTTGTTCTTGCTCCGTATAATTTATTATTTTATTGTTCATTCCTAACTCTTGTTTTCATGATATCGTGGCACACGTGGAAGTGTGGATGTCCGTCAATTCAATAATTTCCTCCTTTTTTTTTTTATTTCTTTGCTTATGCTTGTTAAATAAACCATTAGATTTAGTTTAATAGAATAAATAATGTATTTAATTAGTTTAAAATAATTTTTTTGGATGTTCTAGTTTAAAATAAAATTAATTATTGATAAGACGAGTTGATGACTTAATAGATTTAATAAGAGTATAAATCTATAGCACCCCAATTTATTATCTAAATATAATAATAATATTAATAAGATAGTAAATATTAAATTTAATTAAAAAATTAAAGTCTTAATTTAAATTTAGAAATTAAAATTTTAATTTTTTAAATCTATGATTAGGAGTAGACCTGGCAAACGGGCGGGTTGGGTCGGGTTAGAGTCGGGTCAACTCGGTTGATGGGTTAGACGGGTTAGGTTATAAACAGGTTGCGGGTTGGAAACATCTAACCCTAACCTGACCCTAATGGGTTGCGGGTTAACCCGCGGGTTAACCTTATTTCATTCTTTATAATTATTTTTCGTTAATTTTATTATACATAAATAAAATTATATATATCTAA